TTTCCTATTTTTCTATCTAACCATTGGTAAAATAAATCCCATATCTTATAGTACTCTTTTTCTTCTTGCTCTCTAATTGCTAATGATAATCTACTAAACTTCAGGAAGGGGAAGAAGGAAAGGAAAACAAAGCAAAGGGAATGTTAAGGAAACCGGAAATGCTGAAAAATCAATAAAGCCAAACTTTAAAAAGTTTATAAACAGGATAAACCGACACCCAGGAATGCAAAAATCAGAAAATTGTGCCATCCGAGAGGGATCGTCATGCAATTCCCAGCTCTCAGCCTGACCCACTTCGCAGGGTTGTCGTTGCGGGGAAAATAACAGAATAATAAAGTTGGAAGGGACCTTATAGGTCATCTAGTCCAACCTCCCCACCCAAGCAGGAGATCCTACACCATCTCCGTCAAATGGCAGGAGGAAAGAGTATGGAATATATTTGTGTCTCGAGTTATTTCTAAAAATAATAAAGGCAGGATGCAAATAAACAAACAAACATCTTGAGCTTTGGAAGGAATGCTTCTCATATCTATTTCTTTGCCCATCGCCTCCTAAACATTGCCCCAAATCTGTTACAAGGAATTGTACAGGTTTGTTACAAGGAATTTTGGAAAAAAGCACAGAGCCCGACCCTTATTTGAAGTGACGGGTTGCAGAAAAATTGGTCCTTCCTTGCAGGGCCAGGCTGCCATTTCTTAAACATTAAAATTTTAATTTTAAAACTGGAAAGGGAAACCGCAAAAGGACAAGCTGGAGAGAAGCCCTTCAAATAAGCATCTGGCCAGTTCTGAAGGGAGCAGCTGACCAACAACTGAAAAGCATATTTGGTAACCCACTTTCCCCAAAATCCAGGAACAGCGAAGACCAGTATGGCGTTTTCAAGGTTCCCAGCTTGCAAGAAAGATTTCTGGAGATCTTCTGCCCTCTGCTGGGAGACCCATGGACCTGTCTGGCTGGACAGAAGAGATTTTAGAATAGAATAACAGAGTTGGAAGGGACCTTGGAGGTCTTCTAGTCCAATCCCCTGCTTAGGCAGGAAACCCTACACCATTTCAGACAGACAGTTATCCACCAACTTTTTAAAAACTTCCAGTGTTGGACCATTGGCAACTTCTGGAGGCAAGTTGTTCCACTGATTGTTTTGATTGTCAGGACATTTCTAGATTGCTTCTCTGCTTGATTAGTTTTCCCCCATTGCTTCTTGTCCTGCCCTCAGGTGGTTTGGAGAATATCTTGATTCCCTCTTCTTTGTGGCAGCCCCTGAGATATTGGAAGCCTGCTATCATGTCTCCCCTAGTCCTTCTTTTCATTAAACTAGACAGACCCAGTTCCTGCAACCGTTATGCTTGAATTTTATGCTTGACTTTATTGCAATCGTTAAACAGTACAACAGAACTGAGATTCTTCAACTATTCAAAATGTCCAAAATTACATCGACAAGGTCAGGAAATCCAGCAAAAATTATTATCCAGATAATTATAGCACATAGAATGACAGAGTTGGAAGGGACTTCAGAGGTCTTCAAGTTCAGCCCTCTGCTCAAGCAGGAGCAATATATTTTTTCAATATACCTTTCCAATATATATATATTATATAATTAATTAATTATAATTAATACAGACATTCACAGGTCTTTCCTGAGGCTCTTGGGAGAAGGCTGTCTGTGTGTTTGTGGCATGTTTGCGGTGATGAGAAAGCAAGCAGAATTGGCATTTAGAACATAGAATAAGAGGATTGGAAGGGACCTTGGAGGTCATCTAATCCAACCCCCTGCTCAGGCTGGAGACCCTGTACTGTTTCAGACAAATGGCTGTCCAGGCTCTTCTTGAAAGCCTCCAGTGATGGAGCGTCCGCAATTTATCATGATTTATGTTAACCTGTCCAACTAATTATACTTTATTAATTGTCCAGCTAATTATTATTATTATAATGTACAATTTGTCCAGCTAGTGTCATTTATTGTAATCCAGACTTTATTTACTTTAAGTCAATAAAGAAGAAAAGACAGTTGGGTTTTACAGATGACTTTTCACTGATGTAGAACGACCATAAATAAAAGCCAAACTTTGAAAAGTTTATAAACGAGATAAACCGAACACTCGGGAATGCAAAATTCAGAAAAGTGTGCCATCCAAGAGGGGACTTAAAATACAGACTAAGAAAAGACAACTTAAATCAATCCAAATTAACCAATCCAAATTTGTAAGCAAGCCAAAAGGTTTCTCTATCTTCTGCTTTTAAAGAAGCCTTCGGGAGTTTTCGGACTTCTTCGGAAGCTTCCGAGTCTCAGGAGCTTCGGCCTTTTTCGGCTCCGTCCGCGGGGGGGGGGGGGAATCTTAAAAAAAAAAAAAGAGGAGGAGGAGGAGGAGGAGGGAACGCGCGAGACGCCGCTCCGCCAATGAGAGCCCAACGCAGCCTTTGAACTAACGGCCACGAAGGGCGCATCGTGTACCGTCTTCCTCCGAGAGCGGCGGGGGGTGGGTGGGGGGAAAAAATAGTCCCCGGCGCCTCCGCTTTAAAAATCAAGCCGTGTCACGTGGTACAGAACGCGGAGTGATCGTTCCGAGTGAGGCGGTTTTTCACCGTTGGAGGGAAAAGCCAGCGCCATTTGAAAATCGTGCTTATTATTAGTTTTTGTTTCGTTTTTTTTTTTATTCGAAGCTTTCTTTGGTTAGTGTTTGTTTTCATTTATTTTTTTTCTGTGAAAAGTTCTTGCGACGGTATCGCTCTGGTTATTCCTTCTGGTTATTATTTTGATGTTTCCTTTTTTTAAAAAAAATCCCAATTTCAACTTATTTTATTCGTAATAGTATACATTTACTTAAGGATTTGTGCTGTGAAAATGGGGGTGCCAGGAACGAAGTTGCATGGCGTTAGTAGAGAATTATATATATTTTTTCTAGTGTGTTTCTCGTGCAATGAAAAGATGGTTATAAAATAAAATAGCTTCAATTAAACTCAACTTAATTAAAAAAAAATAAGGAGTAAAAATGGAGGGTTTGCAACTTGTGTGTACAAAATGGAGGGGAGGAAAAAAAATGAAAACATTTGCAAATGAAGAATAATCCACTGCTTTCAAGACTTATGTTTCTATTTTTTAAAAATAGTCTCATAACAGAAAATTTTTTTTAAAAAAAACCACTAGTCAAGGAGCAAAAGAGTTTATAATTCTAAAATATAGAAATCATTATCTTGTTAGTTACTAACAAACTTACTTGCTATTCTCATTGGGGAGGTTAACATTGTTAATTATTTAACAATTTAGTTAATGGTTCATTAATGAACTAATATCTTAATTCTAGTGGTTTTAAGACTTAACAATAGCCTTATTTTTTAAAAAAATAAATAAATGAGCAAATTGTTTTACAATGATGCCTAAAATCTAAAATTCATTAGTTCATTTAATTCAGTGGATCATTAATGACTCAATATTTTAATTATCCCAGTGTTTTCAAGTGTTTCTATAGTCTTTATCATTATGTCATTAATGAGTGGCTTAAATGAATCAAACTAGGTTTGTTATATATATCAAACTAGGTTGATTCAGAATAATCTTAAGTTTGGGTATCTATAAATATATCTTTGTAAAAGGTAAGAAAAGTGGGAAACCCACCCCACCTCAACACACACAAATTATGAATTGGGAGGAATGCTATAAGCTACTAGTGGTAGTAGTTGCTATTTACTAACAATTTGGGGAAGTTGACATTGTTAATCATTTTGTGTATATTTTTGAAAACAGGCTTCGTTGACCAGAACAGCGCAGTGAAGAATTTAAAATGTAAAGTGTAAGGATAGGTCCTATTGAGATAATAAAGACTTAACCAATGGGTATATCATACAAATGAAAAGTATTGTTTAAAAAACAGATGAGGTATCCTAGGTGATTGGGGATGAGGGGAGTTGTAGTCCAAAAGGAAGAATGTTGGTTGGAGTGCTCCAGTATTTTGCTTTTGTCTGTCTCTGATTCACATTAGAATTGTGGTATCTGGAATGCAAAAGCCCATAACCCCATTCAGCTGGGATTGTTGCATATTTATTTGCTACCCTTTATGGGCATCTGGGTTGATGTTCCCAGATTGGCTCACATCAAATCAAACATTTGATACTAGTTTAAATATATGCTAGACTAGTTGGATACCTGTGCTTTGCTATGAAACTATGTGGTCAGGCTTAATTTTTTGGGAGGAAAATAAGGAGAAAAAAATTCTGCCTCTGCCTACCAGCATCCACCAGTATTCATCTGGCTAGTGTCCTGTCAGTGTGTGAGAGAGTTGAGGGCTGTTTGGAACCTGTGTGAGCAAGTAGACAGCAAGGAGCCTGGGCATGGCTTCGCTCAACTGTTCTGTACTAAAGCTGCTTGGTGCTCTGAAACTAAAACTGAAACTTCTCTCCTTGTGTTTTGAATTTAGAACAGATTTCTTTTCAGGTGGGGAGGGGGAGTAGAGTTCCTTAGCATCAGAGCATGTTAAGAATAATAATATAGGAAATACTAATGCTTTGGTGGTCCTTTTGAAAAATCCTTTAAATTTCAAGTGTGTAGGCTTTACGGTTCTGGAGATTTTGTGATGATGCGTGAGGTGGTATTTCACTTATATATAGAGAGAGAAAGATTAAATCCAGCTTGAACAATGGGAGTCCCTCCTAGAGGTTTGCAGCTTCAAAAACCCACCTTGGAATTTTAGCTTGCACAAAATCTACTTTGGATCTTGCTGGGTTCATTCTGAAATCCTGTGGATTAGTTGGGGCTTGCAGTTATCAGTAAGGGAACCATAAGCCAGGATGTGCTTCAAATCCTGGCTTATACTTCTGTGCTAAAGGGGACATCTTTTAAAAAACATGGGGAAGGTTCCTCTGATGTACTCATTAAACTCATTGCCGGAAAAGATGCACTGGAAATGGGTTCAGTTTAAAGCAGGCTGTATTTTTTTAACCCTGGAAATGTGAAAAAGAATGAAAATTACATGTTTGTCTGCCATTACAGCTCATTCAGTGAGACAATGACTGGGAGAGCAAGAGCAAGGTCTCGGGCGAGGGGGCGAGCTCGTGGTCAAGAAACAACACTCTCTACAGTGGGACCAGCTCCTGTAAGTTTAAAAAATGAGGAAATTTTAAAAACCTTTTTAAAAAGGACGGGTGCTCCTCTGATCACCGATATCCTAGAAGCCCCAGCTAGCCTGTTCAGTGGAACGATAAGAATTATAATTCTGGTTTTCCAGGGTCAGCCGTGGCCTCTGGTCCGTGTTATTTACCATAATGTGGTTTGTCTTTCGATATTGAGCAGCCTTTTTTTAAACCAGCATTGCCTCCTCTAGGTTTCTGCGCCTGGATACAGCTCAATAACTCCCCAGATTCCGCCAGTGCTGCAAGCTGAAGCAGGAGATGGAGCTAAGGCTAGATATGGCCAACAAATGGGACCCCCGGTTTTGAAATCGAAATCGGAAGGTAGGATTGGTAGCTCAAAGACAGATAATCCTCTCCACGTTCCTGGAGTCGAACCAAAGTTTGAATATACATTGGTGAAATAGAAATAAAGTGGGGGTGCAGCTGTTATTTGGTCTGCTGCCTTTCTGTGGGTTGAATTCCTGGGGCGCTGTATATATTCATCCTGGAGTCTTAGCCATTATGCACTACCTGCTTTGGTAATGAAACAGGAAAACAGCCAGACTCAAGGACCCCAAGTCCTCCTCCTTCTCCCCCTCTGCAAACCCCGCTCCCTTCTAGCACTGATGACATTACCAAGTTGGGTGATGAAGCATGTGCAAGAAAACTACCAAGCTCAGAGAGCACCAAGGACCCCACAGTTCGACCCCAAGCTACAAATATTCTATCAATCTTACCACATTTTTTTTAAGAAAACCCCTAATCTGGTAGGAGTCACATACCTCTCCTTTCAGTGATGGTAATCTTGATCTCTTAATGCCTCCCTATAAGAAGCAGCTGTAGGAGCTGACCTAACTAACCATGAAATTGATATGGTGCTTTCTCTATGGGTTGCTAAGAGGCAAGTCTTGTGATCCAGTTGATCAGGGTTTCTTACTTCTATGCCATCCCCAGTGGGTCATTTTAGGTCATCTTTAGCAACAGCAGCCCACTTGCCCAATAGCGTTCAGGAGGCAGGTTGTCCAGAATTAACCACAAAGGCAGATTATGACTGATATATTTTTTTTTGTCCTCTACTTTATAGAACTTAAGATTTCAGCAGGCTTTCAAGAAATGAGTTTGGGAGAACGAGGTGGACGCCGCAGAGACTACCATGATCTTGGTGTAAACACCCGTCACTTAATGGAACATGTCAGAGAATCCAAAACAGGTACTATACGGGGGATTCTTAGGAAAAGTTCCCATTTTTCTCTTGAGTGCTTTTTCTGTCACCCTTCCAGCCCCTTCCAGTTGTAGCAACATCCAACAATATGTTAATCCTCCGTGAAGAAACGCAGGTGTCCTGCATTTGGCAGTTGATGTGGTGCTAGTGCTTTTACTGTTGATGGATGGAACGTTATGCCAGTCAGTGGCAGAGCTGTTGAAAATGCTTGTTTAATAAACGCTTGTTAAAGATCGGCTGATGGAATTGGGTCTGTGTAGTGGCATGAAAAGAAGGACTAGGGATGACGTGATACCAGTCTTCCAATATCTAAGGGGCTGCCCCCCAAAAGAGAGGGTCAATCTATTCTCCAAAGCACCTGAGGGGGAAGACAAGGAGTAACAGAAGATGATCCGAGATCCAACTTAGAATTTAGAACAAATTTCCTGACAGAACAATTAACCAGTGGAACAGCTTGCCTCCAGAAGTTGTGGGTGCTCCATCACTGGAGGCTTTTAAGAAGAGAACGGACAGCCACTTGTCTGAAGTGGGATAGGCTTTCCTATCTTGAGCAAGTGTTAGAGGACCTCCAAGGTCCCTTCCAATTCTGTTCTGTTCTGTTCTGATAATAAATGGCTAACAGATGGATACCTTCCCACAGGTGTATCGGGGAATTTAATCAGATTGAGCACCAACCACTTCCGGCTGTCGTCTCGCCCGCAGTGGGCTTTGTACCAGTACCACATTGACTACAACCCACAGATGGAAGCCCGCCGTCTTCGGGCAGCCTTGCTATTCCAACACGAGAACTTGATTGGCAAGACACATGCTTTCGATGGGTCCATTTTGTTCTTACCAAAGAAGTTGGAAAACAAGGTACCAGCGATATTCAGTCATAGTCTGAATAGCTCAGATACAGCCTCGGTTGGCTGTGGCAATTTAGAATTATGGAAATCGAGTCTTTGAGGTTGAGCAAAAGCCCTTTGACTTATGTACCACTTCACAGTACTTTCCAGCCCTCTCTTAAGCGGTTTAAAGAGTCAGCCTCTTGCCCTCAACAATCTGGGTCCTCATTTTACCCACCTTGGAAGGATGGAAGGCTGAGTCAACCTGGAGCCGGTCAGGATTGAATTGCTGGCAGTGGGCAGAATTTTAGCCTACAATACTGCATTTTAGCCACTGTGCTTGTGGCATTAGTGATGGGCATTGCACATAGAATGAGAAGCATTTAGAAATTACGAAGTCTTGTCCATTTCTTGATTCTAGTCAGTTTTCTTAAGGCTTCTGGAGGTTAAAACCATCCCATCCTAAAAATAATTATTGGTGATTCTCTTAGGTTACGGAGGTGTTAAGCCAGACACGGCAGGGAGAGACTGTGAAGATCACCATCACTTTAACCAATGAACTTCCATCGACTTCGCCAACATGCCTACAGTTCTACAACATTATTTTTAGAAGGTTAGCCTTTGCTGCATACACATTTTATTTTTATTTATTTTTTGAGAGAGAGAGAGAGCTGGGATTGCTAGGATCTGTGCATTAGAGAGCCAGGACATTTTTTTTAAAGTATGAGAAATCAATTATATTTCTACTAGACAATTTGTAGAATTCATTAATGTGGGGAAGGGTCTGCAAAGATTTTGGTTTTCACTTTTTTTTTTTTTGCGGGGAAGGGAAGAACTCAATTCGAGTTATTGCAATTGGTCCAGACAAGCTTTTCTAGTTTTGAAAGTTCCATTTTCTCTATTGCTGCTCTCATTCAGCATCCTGGCTAATTGGAAGGTCTTTGTGATGGGCATGGAGTTTGTTGATCAATCACCTGGAACAGGTGGCTTAGCTCAAATTTGGGTGTGATATCTCACCCAGCAGGTGAATTATTGTTTAGGAAGCCAGAAATCGTAATTACGATGATTTCTTCTCCAACTGGACTAAAAAAAAGTCTTGTGGGAGAAGAGAAAAAAATAAAACATCCATTGCCCAAAATCAGACTCTTTCCTTCTAAGATCCCTCTGTATAATCTTACTTTCCCATTTCTGTTCTTTCTCAGATTGTTGAAAATAATGAACTTGCAGCAGATTGGGCGTAATTACTACAACCCAAGTGACCCGATCAATATTCCTAAGCACAGGTAATAAAGCTGGAAATGCCTTTATGATCACAGCTGGGACCAGAATCAATCCATTACTTACTTCTTTTGGAAGCTCCTAGATGCATTCTGCCTCTCCTAACAAAAGATTAGCGTTTAGTTCTGCCTTAGATGTTTATTCTGATGCCTGTAGCGTTTTTGTATTGAAAGATCTGGGATTACAAACCCAAGCAAACTGATTTTCCTTAGTGCGACTTGAAATAATCAATTTTAAGGGGGATCAGCCTGACCCGTAGACCTTGGTTTTGAAAGCCAACCGACCCCCCCCCACGTAAAATGGGTTCCTCTATTGGAGTTGCAGATCCCTTGCAGAACTCGTTTGCGACGTGAGAGGAGTTGCTCCCTGTCGGTTTAAAAGAGAGCAAGTGGTTGTCAAGAGTGAACCACTGAATTTTCTTTTGTCTTTTGATAGGCTGATGATTTGGCCTGGCTTCACCACATCCATTCTGCAGTACGAGACCAGCATCATGCTTTGCACAGATGTGAGCCACAAGGTCCTCCGAAGCGAGACCGTCCTGGATTTTATGTACACCTTGTATGATCAAGTTGGAGAACAGCAGTTCCGAGAATTATGCACAAAGGAACTCATTGGTGTGATTGTCCTTACCCGGTAAACTCGGCTTATTTTGATGTTAATGGTGCAGATCAAAACCTTTTGCTTTCCCAGCTAGTCCCCGACTTACCACCACAGTGGGGGGTGGGGGTGGGGTGGAATCGACAGTTCCACTGCTATGGTCATTAGGTTTCAGGCAGGCACTGCCGTTGTTAAGTGGATCACATGGTCCTTAAGCAAATCCAGCTTCCCCTGTTGACTCGGCTCATTAGAAGCCGGTTGAGGAGATCGCAAATGGCAATTCCCCCCAAACCCTGGGAGGCTACAAGCAGAGTCCTTAAGAGAAATTAAGATTGAGATGAAGATTTTAGGTGATTTAAGATTAATGAAGCCTTCCAACCTTTGCCCAGGTATAACAACAAAACGTACCGGGTAGACGATATTGATTGGGAATCAAGTCCTAAAAATTCCTTCAAAAAATCTGATGGAACCGAGATCAGCTTTGTGGATTACTACAAGATGGTACGGAGTTTTGGTGGGAATGAAAAGGACCTTGGTGGATTGTAGGTTCCTCCCCTCCCTTTAAGTCGGTCAGATCTATAATGCAACGCTAAGGCTAGATTTTGATCAGTAAAAGGCATTGATCAGCACATGGATACGTAATTCAAAATGGCCTCTGGGAAATTTAGTATGTTCAATGGCTCTGCAAGCCTCTTTGTTCCATTACCCGTTGTTCGTATAATTGTTGAAATTTAATTGCAAGGCTAAGCCTCCAGCCACACACAAAAAAGGGGGCTTTAAAAACTAATTGCTCTTCCCCCCCCCCCCCCCCCAATAATCTTGCATTGTGATCTAATTACAAAGGGGTCCCAGAAAGGAAAAGAGGGACCTTGATCAATTGCACATTGACGAAACACAGAGTCGACTTTCCCAAAGCTGTTTTTCTTTGCAATTTACAAAAATTGCCTTCCCGTCTCACGAAGCTGATTCTGCCTGCATAGTTTAAGACTTGCAAAAGGAAGCCCCTTTCCGCATTCTGCGTGTCGGATTCAAACGACGTTTCTGCTCTTTAAAACAGCAATACACCCAAGAAATCACCGACTTGAACCAACCCGTTTTGATTAGCCAGCCAAAGAGGACGCGAGGCCCTTCAGGTGCCTTGGCAGGACCAGTAATACTCATCCCTGAACTCTGCTATCTTACAGGTCTGATGGTTCAAAAATAGCCTTACTTCTCCAGTAGTGGGTATTTAATCAATGGAATGGCTTGCCTGATGGAGTTGTAGTGCTCCATGGCTGGAGGTTTTTCAAGAAGAGATCTTGAACAGTGTCCAGGATGGCATAAAGTGGGCAGGGGGTTGGGCTAGAAGATCTCTAAGGTTGGGCTAGAAGATCTCTATGATCCACCTTCTGATTTGGAAATGAGGCAATTTCTTTTTACCTAATGTAACACTGAGAATTATCTAGCGAAAATGATTGTTACACCTCCAGCTGCAGCTGCCTCGACAATTATAAGAGGGATGTTTTAACTTTTAGATTGATTCGTTTTGGGGGATAATAAATGAGTTGGGTCTGAGTGCTGGCTTTTATTGATTTTATTGTATGGTCTCCCTCCACTTTGTCCTTTTTCCTCTTTGTAGGCCTGACTAATAAGATGCGAAGTGATTTTAACGTAATGAAAGATCTGTCTGTTCACACAAGGCTTGCGCCCGAACAAAGAATGCGTGAAGTTGGACGACTTATCAATTACATTAATAAGTAGGTTGCTGGAATCCCCCCCCCCCCACAAAAAAAAGAGGGGGGCAACTTCAATTCTGGGAGTTGAAGTCCACAGGCTGACCGTATTGGACACCCCTGATCTACGAGCTCTATTTTTATTTTTGCAGAGATGACAACGTTCAGAAAGAGCTACGCGATTGGGGGCTAAGCTTTGAATCCAAACTGCTTTCCTTTTCGGGGCGAGTGGTCCAATCTGAAAAAATTCGTCAGGGAGGGAAAGCGGTAGGCAACTTTTCCTTCCTCAAGTGGGTTAAAACAACCACCTACCCACCCACCCCAAAAATAAAATCTGAGCAGGCTAAATTAGATGAAAGAAAAAGAAGAGAAAAGAGAGACGTGGCCAATTGGTTAAGTGCTGAACTCCGAGTGCTTCCTTTCAGTTTGACTACAACCCGCACCTTGCAGACTGGTCCAGGGAAACAAGGGGTGCTCCCCTCACCAGTGTAAAACCTCTGGAAAACTGGCTGCTGATCTACACCCGCCGGAATTACGACGCCGCTAATATTCTGGTCCAAAACCTTTTCAAAGTCACCCCCGCAATGGGCATAAGAATGAACAAAGCCATCATGTAAGTACCGTCAAGACTCTTGTTCTTGGCAGGGACAGGGAGGGGGCTTCTGAATTTAAAGCTGCCAATTTAAACCACGATTCAGTTTCCCCGCTGGGAATTCCCAGGTGAAGCTAGTACTCGAAAAGGAATGCAGTATTTTGAAGGTGGGGTTTGTAACATTGCCTAGAACAGCCAGGTTAGCAGATATCAGAGAGAGAGAGAGAGAGAAAAAAAGATAGAGTAGATAGACAGACAGTCCTCAACCTGCAACCGTTCGTTTAATGACCATTTGAAATTATAGCTCTATTCAAAAAAAGTATCCTGCAACCAGGATACTTGCACTTAGAACTGTTGCAGCATCCCCACAATCACGGGATCAAAATTTGGGTTCTTGGCAGCTGGCAAGTCTTTATGGTTGCAGTGTCCCAGGGTCACCTGAGCACCATTGGAAACCTTTCCAGCCAGTTTCCACCAGTGGGAGGAAGCTGGATTCATTTAGCAGCAAAACAATGTTGTAACATCGGGCATGTCTCCTCACTTAAATGACCACCTCACTTAATGATAAGATGTTCTAGTCCCAATTGAGGTCAAAAGTCGAGGATTTACCTGTATGGCATCAGTTGGCACTAAGTACAGTATTTCTACTGTACAGTGTTTCTCAACCTGGACAACTTTTAAGATTTGGTGGATTTCCAGAATTCCCCTGCCAGTCCTCACGTTTTCAAGTTATCCAGGTGGAGAAATACCCATTTATGCAGTTAGTGGTAAAAGAGATGGCATCTTTCTTTGTAGGGTTGAAGTTGATGACAGAACAGAGGCGTACCTGAGAACCTTAAAGCAGAAGATTACCTCCGAAACTCAGATGGTATGGCCAATGTGATCCCATGAACTGCAATGTCATGGTTTGTCTGATCCCTGATTAAATACAGGATGCAGGGAACCACGGGTTTGCTCTGGTTTAAACCTTTGGGATTAAGTGATTAAACACCCTCTGGAGCTTTGCTTCTAGGAATTAATGGGGCAGCAACCCTGCCAGATCCCATTTTTATCAGTTGATATCTCATGCCAAGATCAGGATTAAATACAATCAAAGAAGGCACATGAAGATGGTTGGAAAATGGAGTAGGGGGCAAGTCCTCTAGAAAGCTTATAAACAGTCTTACGAAGCCCGCAGAAATCAAAACTTTGTTCTTTACTTAAATGCTATTAGGCTAACGTTCTCTAACTGGACCATCTAAATTGCCTTTGAGTGTCTTTGGAAGGATGGAAATATAGGACTGCGAGGGTCATCGAGAGCACTCCAGGTTTACCACTGTGTAAAAGGCAAAAGGGCAATGCTGGCTTTTCCAGGGTAGCTCTGCTAATGCAGCCTACGATGCGATTCCCAGCAAGCTATAGAACTCTTGAGGTTTTCAGTAAACCCTGGGAGGATGTACTTGACTGTCTTTGCTTCTTCAAGGTGGTGTGTGTCCTGTCCAGTAACCGTAAAGACAAATACGACGCAATCAAGAAATACTTGTGTACTGATTGTCCCACACCCAGCCAGTGTGTTCTGGCTCGCACCTTGAGCAAGCAGCAAACTATCATGGCCATAGCCACCAAAATCGCCTTACAGATGAACTGTAAAATGGGGGGAGAACTCTGGAGCGTTGAAATCCCAGTAAGTAGCTTTTATATTTTATTTTATTTTATTTTATTTTTCTTTCTCTCTTTCCAGGAGTGTTTAGCTTAGCAGCCCTGTAAGAAACCCACATGAGAGTTAAAACATAACTTAGCTTGTTTTGGGGATGTCTTGTGTTTTGTTCCAGTTCACTGAACAATCTGTGTTTGACTCAAGAATCAATTAATATCTCATCTTTATTTTTGCAAGTAACTTGAGGTGGCGAACAGATCGTCCCACTTCTCTTTTCCCCACAACAACCATGCTGAGGTGGGTTGGGCTGAGAGAGAGAGAGAGGGAGTGGCCCAAAGTCACCCAGCTGGCTTTCATGCCCGAGGTGGGACTTTCTAGCCTGGTGCCTTAGCCACTAGGCCAAACTGGCTCTCCCATGACAATAATTCTCCAATATTCCAGATGAAGCAGCTCATGATTGTGGGCATCGACTGTTACCACGACATTTCGGCTGGACGGCGATCAGTGGCGGCGTTTGTTGCAAGCTTGAATCATGGAATGACCCGGTAGGATTGTTAAGACCTTTTCAAGAGCTGCAAATCTTTTAGGAAAACACATATGTGGCTATGTTGCCATTCAGGGATTGTTTTGCTGTTTCGGGCAATCTTCAAGTTACCACTTATCATTTAACGGCCATTTGGAATGAAAAGTGCCCCAGAAAGGGTGCTTGGCAACCTACAAAGCCCTTCCCAACTGTTGCAAAATGTCCTCCCTCCTGCCCTGCTATCACATGGCCCTATTTGGGCACTGGGTTCACATTTATGACCGGTTGCAGCATCCTGTGGTCGCATTAACTGATTCGCGACCGTTTTCAGGAGAACAGCAGGAGGGTCTGTGACAATTCGCCACAGCCAACTCGCTGTGGGACAGTATTAAAGAAACAGTGGAATAGAATAGAATAGAATTATTGAAGAAAGGATGCAAAAGGAGGGACAGGATGAAAAAAATGAAAACATTTTTATTTTATTTTAAATAATTAAATTGAATTGTTAAATTGTCCCAGGGTGATTTGGCTGCAGTGAGTTGTCCCATTCCATGCCAAGGAGACTATGGCATATCGGACTTATGACTAGTTGATTCTGATTTAACAACCAGATTATTTGCTCAATAACCACTGTAAAATCAAATCCAGTCACGTCTGTGCTTCACCTTATGGCCAAAATTCCGGTCCCAATTTTGGCTGTAAGTCAGGGACTTCCTGTATTGTCCTTGGCAGCAGGGCAGGAAGTCTCTGGGGATCTGAGCCTTTTTGCCTTCTCTTGGCAGTTGGTATTCACGCTGTGTGCTTCAAGATCGTGGGCAAGAAATTGTGGATGGACTCAAAGTGTGCCTACAAGGTAAAAATAGCCTCAACAAAGTGTCAATGCTTGAGAGCTTTACTAAAGAAATGACAGTCCTATATTTGAAATATAATCTTGATAAAAGAAGCTAGCTTCTTTGTGTTCTAGGGAGGGTAAGGCTGACCTCTTTGTTTTGGGTAGGGAATCCGGTTTAATTTTTGTAAATTGCTGCCCCGTCTTTCCTTAGCGGCACTCAGGACTTGGTATTCCTACAACGAACACATGCCTACCCGTATCATCGTGTATCGCGATGGTGTTGGTGACGGTCAGTTAAAAACCTTGGTGAGCTATGAAATCCCACAATTGTTGGAGTGCTTGAAAACAGTTGGATCTGACTATCGGTAAGTTGGGGGCCTGACCAAGTTTCCTGGGAGGAAAAGGGCTTGGTTGGGTAGACCATACTCCAAAGGGCAGTTTACTTCAACCCCTGTAAGGCCCTTTGGAAACTTGTATGGCTGTAATTTCTTGAAGCAAAAGGATTTGTAGAATAAATGTGATATGGCCGCAGGGCTGGACTGTCAGGTATATAAGGCAGCACAATGCAGGCACTGTGAATGAAACAGCCATATCAAGCCTTACTTGGATTCAATTTTCTGAGTTGCTCACACTGGAAATGACTTTGAGCAACATTAGGGACAGCCAAAGAAATAGAAATAATTTTTTAAAATTACAGAAACATTACACTTCGGCATATAAATCTTTCTTGGCTACAAAAGTTGCTGATCCCAAATCAGCGTATTTGTGATTCTGTATATCTTTTTTTGGCTTGTTTGCACGGGCAATTTTATGCACAGCTTTCCTTGATGCACATTTTAATTTTCCGAGAATAGCAGAGGATGATCGGTTAAAAGAAGGGAAGTCACATTTAATTTCTTGTCTGTCTCTTGAGAAATGGTGAGCACTTTAAGCAAACTAACCCTTGCTATGCAATCTTCTGAAGCCCCAAACTGACAGTGATCGTGGTAAAGAAACGTGTGAACAGCAGATTCTTTGCTGAAATTGAAGGAAAGCTACAGAATCCACCACCTGGCACAGTTATTGACTTAGAAGTTACCAGACCAGAGTGGTAAGTCAACTGCTGAGTTCAAGGGAAAAATGTACAGATGCTCAAAAACAGGAAGTTGAGAGATTTCTATTCTTGGGGGAAGGGGTTTCTAATATCTAAGAGGCTCTTCCAAAGAAGGTGGGGGGGGGGGGTCAAGCTGTTCTCCAAAGCACCGGAAGGCAGGACAAGAAACAATGGATGGAAACTAATCAGGGAGAGAAGCAACCTGGAATTAAGGAGAAATTTTCTGACAGTGAGAACGATTAATCAGTCGAACAGCTTGTCTTTAGAAGTTGTGAATGCTCCACCACTGGAGGCTTTTAAGAAGAGACTAGACAACCATTTGTCTGGAATGGTGTTGGGTCGCCTGCTTGAGCAGGGGGTTGGAGTAGACCAGGGGTCCCCAACCACCGGTCCGCGGAACAAGTCCTACCGTGCCGCTGGCTTGCTGGGCGCCGCCATCTTTTTTTGATGAAAAAGTGCTTCCGGTGAGGTCACCGGAAGCACTTTTTAATCAAAAAAAGATGGCGCCCAGCTGATGCCAGTACCGGGCCGCGGCGTAAAAAAGGTTGGGGATCACTGGAGTAGACGATTGCCAAGGTCCCTTCCAACTCTGTTATTCATCGAGGAAGGGATTGCCTATTTTACATTCTTCAAACCTGACTAGAATTCTTATTTCAAAACAATCTTGATTCTTCCTCATCATACTTATACCAAAGGGCATCAGGATAGGGCAGCCTTGAGTTTCTTTCTCCTTCCTTCCGGGGTTAGGTTGATATTCTCCAACAGTGGTTGAATATCTTCTTCAAGTCTTCATGGTATTCCTCTACACCAGTTTTCAATGGAAGATAACATTTTTGGTGTGACCAAGCAAAAGGAGAAGAAAATAGTGGGTTTTTTTTTTTGTCTCATAGTTCCTTGTGAGATCCAGGATGCAGAAAGAAAGAAAACACTAGCCTAGGACAGGGTCAGTTCCTTAGAGAAGTTAAACCCAGTGATGGTCAAGCAACGTAGACACCAGGTGACAATTGTTGACCTAACAATTTCAAATAATGGGGAGCCTTTTACCTTAAAATCTACCCAAGGACTTCCCGTTAGCCATTGAAGAGAGATGCTCTGAGCGCAGATTAGGCTGATCCAAGACCATCCCTGAATGGGGTCTTCTGATCTCCAGGAGGATGAAGTTCTCCAAGCTTGAACGTACCTCAAGACTGCTTTGATCTGTTTCTCACTCTAGGTACGATTTCTTCATTGTGAGTCAGTCCGTGAAAAGCGGCACAGTCGCACCCACCCATTACAACGTAATCTATGACAGCAGCGCGCTGAAGCCTGACTACATGCAGAGGCTAACATATAAGCTGTGTCACATGTACTACAATTGGCCGGTAAGTAGTCACTTGCCCTTTAGTGGGCCTTCCATGGTTACTTAGACCGACACCAGTTGAGCTGTAGGCTTCTTACTAACCTCAATATTCAAGGGAGGAAACCACCTATTATCTTATTCCAGTCCTTCCTTTTGTTGCCCAAGAGCTGAATATTGAATCTGGATAGGGAACGGATTCTATCAACCTGAATTGACCAGGAAAGGCGAGAAAAAAACAAATACGGTTGTAGTTTTAGCCTTAGAAAATTCCCTAAATGTCTGCAAGTTGGACTAAAGTCAATAAAGTAAAGTTACAAAAATGTAACTGGACCAACAACAAAGTGGTTGCATTTAGATATTGTTACGCTCTGCAGCCCAGGAATGTCCATACCAACACTTCCAATGTTGCTGTAGGTGAGCCTGCCTCCCATCAACTTCGGAAGTAGTTTTTGATGATCCCCAACCCATCTGCAGTTGTCTTCTTTATTACCTGTAGCCTCACATCCGTTTTTCTGGGTTTGAATGAGACGAATCATGGGATGCCTCTTTGAGAAATCTTTAAATGATCTCCTAAGCCTCTAGAAGTGACTACATTTTAGGAAGTCCATTTAGTGTTATCTAGATTGTATCTTCTTGCTGGATCTGCCCCTGTTGAATTTTTATTCCATTTTTTTTCTGCTTAAAACGTCAAAGGAGGTGAAATTTCATTCATTCCTAAAGTCATAGGCCTGTTCAACCACTCTTGAAAGTGTATCCTAAAAACTGAATTCCTTCCTTGGTCCAAAAGCATCAAGGTTGAGTGTTTGTTGTGTCCCAGAATATGGCTGTTACCTTAAAAATGAGGTTTTGTGTCTCTTCCTTTCTCTGCAGGGAGTCATTCGGGTGCCTGCTCCCTGCCAGTATGCCCATAAACTGGCTTTCCTCGTAGGGCAAAGTATCCACAGAGAGCCAAATTTAACCCTTTCGGAGAAACTTTATTATCTGTGAGTCTACAAGAGGAGGTGGTATAATGGAATGGAAAGGGAATTTGGACCAGAGAGAGTTCTTTTGTTAGAAAAAAAACCCCCAAAGAAGTACCTTAAAACTCGATCGAGTAGATATTTGGTGCTGTTGTATTACACACATCAGTGATAAATATGTCAAGATTATCTTTTTTATTATCATCATCATCATCATTTGTGCCTGTATGACTTGGTTAAGTTTTTCATCCAGATCAATTTTTACTGGAGCATGTTTTGTTGCCAAAATAGTGGTTTCGTCAGCAGAGGCTGGGTGTTACGAATAAAGTTAATGTCAGTAAAGCTTGTGTCGGAATCTGTTTTTCAAAGTGTGGTACCGTAAGGCGTTTTGCTCGGAGAATAAGGGGACGGTGAAGTAGACAACCTGCCTTGTCACCCTTGCTGTGTTTTTTTTTCCTGTGGCAAGAAAAGTTGTAAAATAGGGCAAGAGTCACTCAACAAATTTCTCACTTGGCAACATAAATTTGGGAGTCGTAAATTGAGGACTCTAGTCACTGTGTGCAAAAAGTCTTGTTCCTTTTAGCTAAATTGTACCCCCCCAAAAAAGATTCAAAGACACACAAAACAAATTTACTAGGTACTTTAAAATCCTCGCTGTAATAACTATTTGCATGTAAGAAGTAGGCTAAAATTAAACCTAGTTTCATAGACTAAAGGGAGATTTTGCCCATGGCAAACCAATTGCTACTCTTGGTTAAACTATGTTTAGCCAACATGTCTGAATTAGCTTACACATGGCTAATTGGTTAATTCAGGAGCCACACCCTTCTACAAAATATCAAATTTATTTATATAAAATAATTTACACATTAACAACTGTACACATGCACAGTTGCACACGCCCACACAATACTTTGAACCACAAGTTTAGGCCATTTTTTTTTCCTTTACATAAATCCAGCACACTATTATTTTACAAGAATTTACATTATATTTCTTTGAAGACACAATGGGGAAAAAGCTTTGATCATCCATATTACAAACCTTCCATCAATTATAAAACAAAGGCAGTCTGAAAAGTATGTATAAACAGTAAAAAGAATATACAAATGGTTACAAAAGTCTTAAACAGCCAAATCTTTTTTTTTTTTAATTCCACGTACACAATGGTTGTGCGACTCCATCTTTCATCTCCAGTCACAAGAAGGGGTGACAAAATTTTCTAATTTGAAAGACTTCTTGCTGGCAGTGGCCCAGGAATAATACACATTTTTGCGTATTTCCTTCTACTTATTTGACTCAAACACACTTTGAAGCTCAACAATAATGGAAACCCCAAGCAACGGCCACCTTAAATCTGCATTTTTTTGTTTCTGCCGTAATCAAATTTTGCTTTTTTTTTTTTTAAAGCTTACATGAAAAGCTGAACAGCAGCACTTACACAGACGGTTGAAAAAAAAATTATAATAATGAACCTTTGCACGACATTTTCACACTCCCAGGAATTAATACCGGACACGAATCGGGACTCCCATCGCCTTTTAAATGACGGGCATCTCAGTGAATAATGAAACCGTTAATAGTTCAACACAGAGTACATAGAAAGTTTACGCTTGTAGAGTTCAGACAGTACTAATTGTGCATTTAATAAGGCAAAAACATCAAGGCTTCTGGCAAACTAGGAGTTTCAAGACCATGGACGTGTCACGTGGTGAAGAAACATGGGGCTCAAAAAACAGGGTTCTTTTTTGTTAAAAAAAAGTTTTTAGGGTTCTTTGTTTTTCCACTTTCAGGTAAGGGTTTCGCCAAAGTGGAAATAGGGAACTTGGGAATAGAGGAGGGGGGAAAAGTGGAAATAGGAAACAAAAGTCCCTTAGGGTTGGTTGCAAGGTTTAAATTCCTTAATCCCATCTTCTCTCTAAATGTTTTTGTTTGGGGGAGGAAAACAAACAAACATGCTAGCAAAATGCTTTTCTTTTTAGCATCATTGCCCCGCTGAGCAAGACCAATCCAGAGAGAAGTTTCTGGAGACAATCATCGTCATCATAAAAAGGGGTCTCGGTGGGTCCTGAAATCCCTAGTTTTTGAGCGTTTCTAGATCGATCTGCATATGGGTGTTTTGTTTTTTGTTAAAAAGAAAAGAAAGTCTGGTGGTTTTTAAGAGGATGTCCAGATGATTGTAAGTTTCATTTCACGGCACCCAGTCTTTTCAGAAGTTTCTTCCCTTTGGAAAGGAGACCCTTCGTCTTTCTCGAAGAGACCTCCCTGCCTCGCCTGGGGCTACCAGAGCCCATAGTTGGGAGAGGTGACCCCGAGTGGAGATGGGCTGTGGGGCTTGGTGATCTCCTTGGTGGTGAACCTGTGTTCTCAGGAGGAACCTGATAGGTATATTTGTTAAGTTTACTGAAGGGTTGCAGTCAACGGACAACAAGAAAGCTTTTTTTTCTTTTTTTCATTCATTAAACCAGGGTTTCTCAATCTTGGCCTGTTGAAGACAGGTGGACTTCCCACGCCCAGAATTCTCCAGCCCACAACTTATCTAGAGCACTCCAGCCCACAACCGTTCTAGAGCCCACAACTGATCTAGACCAGGGCTGGGCTGGAGAATTCTGGGAGTTGGAAGTCCGCCCATCTTAAAGTGGTCAGAGTTGACAAACACTGCATTAAACACACAAACACACACACACCTCTTTTAGGGGCGGGATTATTTTTCTTCTTTATGCCATGTGACAGACCCGTCTGTTTCCCGGATTATGTCAAAAGACTTGTGTAAATTGAATTGGGCTTGATATGTTAAAAGTCGCAGCATAGACAGCTGAAGTCTTCTGCCTATTTTAGAAGACCAACCTCCACAAAAGGACTTATTCTAAAAGAGGGATCTGGATTTTGCCCGAATCCCCTTGCTTCTCAGGAGGGATCTGGGGACTCACACGTGGCATATGTCTATGTGGACTAACCCATTTCCGGGAAGAATCATCCGGGGTGACGAAGAATTCAGACTAGCTCAATTCTTGCTTTCCTCCATGCTTCTTAATCCGTCCCCGCATCCCCATCCCGCCTTTGCCAACTTTTAGCATTCTGTCAGGACATATTTTGAGAAGATGGCACACTGGTGGAAAGGAAAAAATAAAAGCAAACAAAACCAAACAAAAACAGACCTTAATCACAATCAAAGAAAGCTCTTTGAGAGACCTTTGGTTGAACGTTTCGGAGTTGGCTGGCATTCTCCACACGCCCAATGGCATTGAAGAGGAGAGCACCGTGAGGAAAAATGGTGGGAAAAAAACCAAAATGGAGCTCCTAAGAACATCCAACTTCCCTCATGTTATGTCTGTTTGAACATCTCAGTGGGTTCGTTAAGCCAAGGAGGTGCCAAGCTTGCTTTGATATTCAATCAAGGTCTTGTCTAATGGGGGAGGGGAGAAGCCAAAAGGGACCCTTTTTCTCAGTGCAATCCCAACATACACCTGAAGATACCATCTGTGGAGCATTAATGTGTTTGCCCACCGATCTGAGCGGCAACGCTTTCCTTTCAGCTTATTGCATTGGTCAACCAAAGAGCTGCTGAGATGTTGGAGAAAGGAGCACACTTCTATAAGTGACATAGTTTGAACTCGGCCACGACCAGATGGGCAACCACACGCCAGGAGAATTGCTTTGAAGGCAAAATGGCCACCGGTTATTGAAATGTAGCGTGCTTTCAAAAGAAGGAACTCGAGTCCTCTCTTCCCACCGCCAGCCAGGTTGTTTTAGCACAACTGGCTTGCTCAGCAAACAATGTTGGGTTGTTTTTCATTCTCCCCAATTAGCTAACAATGCAATACGCAGCTTTTCTTTGGAATCAAAACACCGGGAGCACTCTTTATGCAAACAAGCATTAAGGCCAGTAAGAAATATGTTCCAAATAGTCAGAAATGTTTTTCTCCCTGGGTGGGTTAAACGAGCCTTAAGCCCTGGTGCGTTTCTGCATTTCTTTTTTTATAAATCAGAAATTCTCCTTTTCTAACTTGGTGCCTTCTATTGCCGCTAGACTAGCAGTCCAATGGCTGGTCGCCTGGAAGGGATGGGACTTGTAGTCCCCCATAGTTGGAAGGCATCCGATTGGGAAATCCTTGCTTTTCTGGAACCAGGAACTAAGGAATTTGGAAACATATTTCTTTTTTTTCTGCCCACATCATGGGCCCAAGGTGGCTCGCATTACAGGAGGCCAACTTAGAGGAATCGGGGTTATCCACTGGTATCTTCAGTTGCACACTTACGTGAAGGCAATGTTGCCCGTTTTTTAAGGTGTGAAATGAACACTCTTCTTCTGGTTCCCAAGCGGATGAGCAAAGAAATAAAATAAATATATATACACATAAAATATAATAAGAGAAAAAAACTGCAAGGATGAGAGAAGAAGACACATGAAACCCTTCAGAAGGGAGCATCATTCAGGAGCTCAAAACATCGCTTTGAAATTTTGAAGTTTGGGGCGGTGTTCCCCCTCCCTCCCAAAAAGGAAGTGCCTGAAGTTTTACATCCATCCATCCATCCATCCATCCCCAAGTCTACTGTCTTAGGTAAATGTCTACAGCAGATCTATAATTTACAGATATAAACTGCTCAAGGTGGGGGAACGAATATATCTATATCTACATAGAAAATTAGTGGCTCCTAAATTAGCATGAGCTCGATCACTGATGGAAGGAATAAGTTGGTTTAGAGTGAGGAGCTGTTTCATTTTTTTTTGTTTTTTTATCTCCCAGCTTCAGAGCGATCTAAAAACTTGGTTTCAAAAAAAAAATGCATTTCTTAATAGATCTATCTATATATATATATATACATATACATATGTACACAAACACGTTCAAGCCAAACAGAATCTGAAATGGTCGGCAAGGGGAACAAAGCGAAAACAACAGTGTCGTTTTGTTTTTTAATTCTCTTTTCTCTCTCTCAATGCTTGCTTACCCTTTTTGCTTTTGTACGTATGGGCGCATCTTGAGGGTACTGGGAGGGCGCGTCAGATAAATAGACTTCTACATC